GCCTTCGGGGTCTGGCTGGCCTCTCTGCCTCCCCACATCCCCATGGAAACTGAAATCCAGATGCTGTCCTGGTAATGCTGTCCCATTTCTGAAGGGTTAGAGAGAGTGAGTGAGAAGGCTCATGCCTTGGGAGTCTCTCCTTGCTACGACATTTTCCTACCACATCCCTGCCAAGGCACCAGCCCTTTAAACCTCCCTTGTTTAGAATTCCTCTAACACCTCCCTGGGAATGCTGCTGGGATGGAGCAGAGGCTCAGGAGTGCTCCCTTCCTCCAGGACAGCAGAGGAAGGAGCTGCAGCTGCATGCTGTCTTACAGACTGTGGCTATTCCATGTCTACGAAACACCCAGGCAGCCAGATTGGTGTGTGGATAGTTTTTATGTGAGAGAAATACACAATGTTGGTCTAAGCAGTGTCACCATGGGATTACAGAATATCCTGAACTGGAAGGGACCCACAAACATCATCGCACTCCAACCCCTGGCCCTGCCCAGGACAACCCCAACAATCCCACCCTGTGCCTGAGAGCAGTGGCCAAACACTGAATTGTGGCATTTCAGCAGCTGGGGGATGGCCAGAGGGGAGCAAAGTTCAAACTGCCCCAGGACACTCAGAGACCCCCATGGAAGCTCCTAAGGGAGAAGTTGCTCCATTTATTGCTTCAGGTGCAGTCAGCAATGGCCCAGCACAGCGCTGGTGGGCACAGCCACAAACAGAGGAATTTTTAAAATCATTTATTATTTTAAATGTCCTTTTTCCTGGAGCTTAACCAGGATCTGATGGGGATCAAGGCCAGTGACAGTGGCTGCCAGCTACCACATGGCTGTGCTGGGCAAGGGCTGAGCTCTGTTTGGGGAGGAGGACAGAAGCAGGCTGTGTGTGCTGTGAGGATGTGTGTGCTGAGCTGTTAGTGCAGAGAGGGGTGACGATTCTGGGATGGAAGAGACTCCATCCCTTTGTGTGCACAGAGGTAGCATCTCGCTCTGAGCAGCCCCGGGGTGGCAGCCAGTGGCACGTGCCAGGGTCCAAGCCAGCACGACACAGGAGGCCTGGAGATCTGACCTCATGCTTCTCTCTGGTCTCCTCCAGGAGAGACTGCTTTGGTTCCTTGTCCCAGCTGTGCACGAGTGCTGGGCAGGCACAGGGGCAGCAGTTCCTGCATCCCCACCATTCGCTGTAGGAAGGAACAGCATCCTCAGCAGCGGGCTGGGAGCCCAGCTCAGCCTGCAGCAGGGCAAGGACAGTCCCTACCTGGGCAGCTCAGCCCTGCTAGAGCTCTGTAGAGGGTCCAGCAGCCCGAGGGCTGCCGTGCTCTGCAGCGTCAGGCACGTGGAACGCCACGTACGGGCACTTCTTCACGTTGAGGCACACAAGCTTCTCCAGGGACGCCGTCTTCACGATCTCAAAGCCGGTTGCTCCACCAAATGTACTGGGTTTCCAGTACTCTGGGGAGCAGATGGGGTTTCCAAAAAGCCCCTTCAGGGAAAATGGAGCTCCGATCTCCACCATGCTTTCCCCAAAAATGCCGTTGGGTTGGGGTTTCTCCAGCAGCAAGCCTGGGTAAAACTCCAGAGCATCAATGTCTCCATACAGCTCTTCCAGCTCTGCTGCCTTCTCTTCCTCTCCTGCACCAAGTGAACATCAGAGTGCTTTAGCAGGAGAATCACACCTGGCAAGGACTGGCCTGGCAGTGGGCAAAGGGAGACTGGCTGCCTTGCAGGCAAGCCTGACTTCCAGACCAGGGACCCCAGGAGGAAGGACCCCTGAGACCCCTGCATCCCCTGACACCCCTGCATCAGCCCACCCTGCCCCACTGTGGGGCCACAGCAGGCAGGGCTGGCATGGGCAGGAGCAGCTGCTCCAAGCCCGGTGGCAGAGGGGCAGCTCATGGCCTGGTACTCACCCACGGGCACAGAGCCCCTGCCCTGGCCCAGCAGAGCCCCAGGAGCAGCAGTGCAGCCCTACCTGTCAGCTCCTGGAAGGACTTGTAGGGCTTCATGCCAAACCTTTTCCGGTACTCGTTGAAGGGCTGCAGCCTCAGCTGCCGGGACTCCCTGATGACCCCGACGGCCACGTGCAGGACGTTGGCATTGATGGTCTGTCCCCCCCCGATCTGCAGGGCACACACAAGGAGGGGCACACATCAGGCACAGGGCAGCACCAGCTCCAGAGGGCCACCACACTAAAGCACCCTGGGCTCGTGTTGTGACACCAGCACGTCACTGCAGCAGCAAGAGGAGGGTGGGCAGTGCAAAAATCAACTGTGGAGCAGCTTGGCCAGGCCAGCCCTGCTCCCAGGACAGGAGAAGTCCTCAATGGGCAGTGACCCAATGAGGAGGATGAGAGAGATTTCAGGCTCACTGGGAGAACCCAAATGCCCAAAGGGGCCTCAGGCTCAGCCTCAGCTGGGCTGCTTGGCACAAGGAGGGTGAGGAAAGGAGCTGCAATCGCTTGGAAGAAAACATCCATGCGATGGCAGCAGAGAACAGTGCCAGGCCCTGCTCCAGCCCCGCGGCTCCGCACCGGGCGGGGACATCCCGGCCTCCACAGGCTCTGGCACCACCGCAATGTTTACTGCAGAGCAGCAAGGGCCAGCAGCTGGGCTGCCAGGGCCAGCCTCGCCTCGCTGCGGGCGGGGAGGGCTCCTGATGTGCCCATGGGGGCTGCCCTGGGCAGACTCGGTGTGACATGGGCACCACTGCACGTGTGTCCCTCCTGGGAGGGCAGAGCAGGACCTTACCCTTCCTGCTACCTGCTTGGAAAAGGACTCCACCAGCGCCTCCACGCCGTAGTCCATGAGCATGGAGGTGTTGTAGAGGAACTGCTTGTAGCTGTACTCTTGTCCCTGGATGATGAAGGAGTCGGGCATCAGCCCGTGCCAGTGGTAGAGCTGGTTGAACTCCACGGCGATGCGGTTCCGGTACTGGAACTGGGACCCAAACAACAGCTCGGGGTCGAACTTGAGGCTCAGGTAGTACCCACTGAGGTGCTGCACGTAGTCCTCAACAACGATCTTAATGGTCTCCCCTGGGCAGCAGAAAAGAAGCAGCTGGCAGCAGCAGGAGCCACCAGCTCTGCATCTGAGATGTCACCCACATCTACCACAGCAGCCACCCACCTCCTCCTGACCATTCTGGATGGACCAAAGCCAATTTTTTTGCTATATGGACCAAACCAAGAGATTCCCAGAACAATGCCAGAGGAGCTGCCTCAAAGGCAGGTTGGCCATTACCCCCAAAAAGAGGCTGGGCAGCGTGGGAGTCCCAGGGGGTGGGACAGGGCAGTTCCTCACCGATGAGGATGAGCCGTGCTGTCTGGAAGAGCTGCTCGTCGCTCCA